GAAGAGCAGCAGATATTGGCCCATTTGGCCCTTTCTCCGGAAACCTCTACGTCGCCATCAAAGTTCAGAACCTCTGCGGTTGAGGGCCGCCTCCGACCATTGCGGCCGACCATTGCGGCCGACCATTGCGGCCAACCATTACGGCCGACCTCTGCCGTCGACCTTTCCGGCCGGCGCCGCCGCGGCAGCTTGCCCATCCCGAATTGAATGGCGGTTTTCGTATCGAAATCACTATATTGCGTTGAGCGCGTGCTTGGGATACATTGCGCGTATTGTGTAGTTAAAAAGTGTACTGTATCGTGTGATTTCCCTTGAAAGCGTGATCCCGTTAAGGTCGATCTTTTGTGCCTGTAAAGCCGGAAAAAAAACCACCACATAAATAATTCATAATACTCCTAGCTTAGCTACTCTTTTTTTAAAAAAAAGTATTAGTAATTTATTTATTACGTTTATTAAGTTTCTTAATTACTCCGGCTTCTTTTATTTTTAAAAAAGCTACTATTATAAACTATTATTTAATATAATTATACTTAAATTATTTCTTAATCTTTGCGCATATACTTAGAAAAAGATCGATAGCGTACTTTATAAGTTTAATATACTTAATCTTTATTAATATCTTTATAAAATAATACTTATAAGTATAATATAATTATTTAACTAAGTCCCTTTTCTTATTAGTATTTACTATTGCGCCGACTATAATATCTAAGTTTTAAAACTATAAGTCTACTTTATATTATAGAGCTTAAAATAGGGACTAGAAAGTATTAAAAAATCGACTTTCTAAGGGGTAAGTATAAAAAATCGGATTTCGTATATAAATCGGTAGAGCCTTAAATATTAACCTCCTATTATATCCTTAATCCTTCTTTAGTTAATTAATTTCGCTATTTCTATTTATTATTAAGAGTAGTATTCTAATAATAGTCTCGGGGTTTATATTATTCCACGGGTAATACTCGTTATTATTATTATCCGTACTAGATTTATCGTTAATATCGGAGCTAATATTAAATTCCCTTAATATATCCTCTTTTTTTTTAACTTAACTTTTCTTCCCTAGTACTACTATTAAAGATTAACATTTTCCCTTAATAATATTTCTCATAATATATTATCGTTAGTCTAACTAGCTCTATATTATAAATTTACTATTATACTTAGTTTTAAGAGATAAGTAAGTAAATAATTATATATTTATACTACCTCCGGACTATATATATTTACCTTCTATATGAACCTTAGTATTACTAACGTCTCCTCCCTACTCCTCCTTTATTACGTCCTCTATATATATATTTATATAATAATAGCTCGTAATATAATTATTCTATACTCGTATATTATATATCTCTATTTCGATTACGTAATAATAATCTTAATATTATACCCTTCTTAATACGTCTTTCTTTAATATACGTAATCCGTATATATCTTATCTTACTTAGTAATTATTATAGTATTTTTAAAAAAATATAGTATTTTATAATAATAAATATATATTTAGTTTGCTTAATAATAGTAATAAATAATAATTATAATTACTTAATCCTATTACTTTATTCTTAATAATATTAAGTCGTCCGTACTTATTAAACGGCTCTTTAAATAATAATTTAAATATTATTCTTTATAATAGTATATATTTTAACTTACCGGTATTTAAATAGTAGTGCTACTACCCCTCAATATACCGGTCCCTTTAAAGGTTTACTCGTTTCCTAAGTATAAGTATTAGTAATAAGGCTTAGTAACTTTATAATAAGCCTTCTTTAAAAAGCGTTCTAAGTCCTTTATAATATCGTTATTATTACTAGTTTCTAATATATTATTTATATATAGCTTATCCCTAGGCTAGTACTAGTACTCGTAATAACATTAAAATTTTATAAGGTTTAGTAATAGCTTAATAAGTACTATAATCTTTAAACCCTTTTATCCTTAAAATAATAGTATTTTATTTTTATAATTTACTACTATACTAACTTTTTTATATTATTATTTACTTAAGAAGAGGTCCTACTTATTACTACGTTTAATAATAATAGCTTAAATTACCGTTAGAATATCTCCTATTACTAATTTTATAATACCGTATTTATATATTAGTATTACCTAGTTATTTACTAATCTAATCGTTATAGGTTCTTATATTTCTACCTAGGGTATGCGATATCTTTTAATAAAAATAAAGTTAATAATATTAATAGTAGATTTATTATTTAGAAGGATACTTAAAATACGTACGTTTTTAATAATACTATTAATATACCCTAAACTAGTTAGTATACTATCCTTAAAACTATATATAATATTTTTAAAAAATACTTTACTATTACCCTTTAACTTTTGCTCGTTTATTATATTAACCTCTATAATAAGGCTAATATAATATTAGGGCTCCTCTATATTAAATATTTATACTTTAGGGTCTAACCCTTTTTACTTCCTTAGTCTTCTTACTTTAATAGGGTCTACTTATATTAAAAAGGCTACTTTAGCTCTAGCTATCGGACTAATTTATAAAAGCTATAGTATTATTATACTTATAGTAGTATCCCTTAGGGTCTCTTTAATACTAAATAGCTTAATATCGTACTTAGTCGTACCCTTAATAAATAATAAAGTCCTAGGGTATTTATTTATTTTAGTTTTAGCTCTAGTATAATTTTAATAATTACTAATATAATATAGTATTACCTACTCCCTCTACTTCTCCTTCGAGCTTTTAGCTTTATTATTTTTACTAGGGCCTCTTTTTAAAATACGTTCGCTAGCGTACTACGCTTCTCTTATTAAATATATAGCTTTTTTTATATATTTCTAAAATATCTCCTCGTCCTCCCTTCTTATAACTTAACGTACTTTTTTAAAAGGGCGTTCTTTTTTATCTTTATAAATATCTAAGTATAATTTTTTTTATATCCTCTTTATTATATATATTTTATTATTAATTTCCTAAACTATAATATTATATCCTAAAACGTTACTATAATAGTTCTTAAAAAATATTATATCGTAATATAATAGTATACTTATATTATTTAACTATTTATATTTTACGGGGATAGTACTAATAAAAGGGTTTAATATAATATTTAAAATAAAGTCCCCTATAGTTTATTAATTAGTCTTCTCTAATTCGTATATTATTAATAAAAAAAGTAAAATATAGTTAGTAATAACTAGCTTAGCCTTTAGTTTTTTATATTTCTTTTTTAAATACTTAGCCTTATACTCTTCTTAATTAGCCTTATTCTTTATTTACGTAGCTAGGTTCCGAGGCTCGGGATATTCTAAGCTAATATATCCCTATTTATAATAGTTAAAATATCGAAGTATATTAGTATTACGAGGTAGTTTACTACCTATTTATATAAATATCTATAATTACTTATCCTTATTACTTTACTATTTAATACTCTATATTATTAAATTATATATCGCTTCTCGTATTAGTTCTATATTCTAATTATTATACTACTTAAATCTCTTAATAAGCTTATAAAAAAGGTTCTCTTTCTTAATATCTAATTTATTATTAATATTAAGCTATCTCTAAACTAAGTTTGTGCATAGTTTAATAATTATTTTTAAATTACTAAAGGTATAGTTATATAGAACCCCGTATTTATTAAATTACTTTTTATAAAAAAGCCTATTTAATACTCTTTACTAAAGAAAGATATCTTTCTTATTATTAAGAATAGTAATAAAAACTTACTACGTAAATATATTTTAATAGGCCTTTAGTAAGCGTTTCTAAATCTTTAATACTCTCTATAAAAAGGTAGAGAGTATTTCTCTATTACTTTTTATAAATAATAAAGCCTCTTATACTACTTTAGTATTCTTTACTACTTTATTAAGGTCCTTAAAACGCTTTTAAAAAGCTTTTTTAATCTTAAACTAATTATATTAGTTTTTTTTACTTTAAGTACTAAACTAATCCTTTATTCTATAATAAAGCCTAGTTTTAAAAATATAAATTCTCTACTTATCCTCTTTAATAAGGTTGTCTACTCCTAGCCTATTTATTTAGGCTTTTACTAAGTTAAAGTACTTTTTTATAAATATACTTTAATTATAGCTAGTAAAGGTTATACCTTAAGAACTAGAGAAGATATTTATAATAATAAGTAGTCTTATATAAATAGTAATAATTTTAATAAGTACTTATATATTTTAAAATACCTATTTAATAAGGGTACTTAGGGTAGAAATAAAGGGGCTTAACTAGTTAAATAATAATAAAATAGGGTTACCTACTCTTAACTTAGAAAATTATTATATTAAGTATAAAACGTTAGGGGAGTTAAATAATATAAATTTTACTATACCTTTTACTCTAAGTATATTAAATATTAGTATAAAAAGTTTTAATAAGTATAGTATATTAATATATTATCCTAAACTTCTCTCGAGGGCCTTTTTAACGAGATTTACTCTACGAACGTAGTCCTTAAGGGCGTATATAAAGTATAAAAAAAAAAAGAATTATAAATTATCTTATAATAAATAGCGTTACGATAATATTTATTACGTATTAATTTAAAAAGAAAATATAGTATTAAATTAAAAAGTTTACTTCGTAGGGCGTTATTATACTATAATCTAAGAATAAAGAGGAAAGGAAATCTCCCCTCTTTAGGGGTACGTTAAGGCTTACTATGTTCTATAGTAATATATACTACTTAGGCTATTTCTAAGCTTCTTTCTCCTTCTATATCGCTCTATAACTTATAAATTAAATAACGTAGCTACCTAGCCTTTTAAGTCCTTATTATTATAAAGTCGAAAGGTTAGTTAAATATATCCTTATTAATAATTAAAAGAGGAGGCCACGATATAGTCCCTTAAAAGAAAATATAATTTTTACTAAGTCCGAAAACTCCCTTCCCTAAACTTACTTCTTACGAAGAGTGCCTACCGAAATATTTAACTCCTCGTAGATATAATATAGGTAATATTATCTACCTTTACTTTAGCCACAAGAAATTAAGCTTTTTCTAAAACCGTAAGCTACGATTTATAATATTAACCTCCCACTAGGACCTTATCGGGGCTTAAGGAGGACGAAAATTCGCTAAGTCCGTAAATTATTAAGTAATAAAAATTATATTTCTTAGAGTACGTACTTAGTAGCTAGAGGGGGATTTCTTTTATTAGTAGTGTTAGTTTATACGGCTACTTA